CATCATGTAACTGTAAAACCCTAGGAAACTATTCATGTGATAGTTCCGTAATAACAAACTAATAAAATCTAATCGGCAAAGGAAGTGGCCTTAAAATCAAAAAAAAAAAAAAAATCTAAATGAACTACCTCTTATAGAGTAGAACTTGTCTTTATAATTAGTTAAAGAAACTTCCTTCTTGAATACTGCTTCTTAAAATAATTAGATAGCTGTATCGCTATTACTTATAGTATACTAAGAAGGCTATACTATTTGTAACATTTGATATTTTCTAGCAGAAAGCTAAAACTATTGACAGAAAGCTAAAACTATTGAAAGAAGAAAAACTAAAACTATCGAAGAAGAAACATTCTCTCACCTAAGAGAAGATAGAGTACTTTACTTATTAGAAGTAAAGAGTAAGAACTCTAAAATGAATTACTCATGAGCTAAAATGTAGGTATAAGTAATTCCATTCTTAGACAAAAAATTTCTGAATAATAAAATACCTGAAAGTAATATATCCAAAAGATAACAAAAAAATAACTAGATAAAATATTCCTAGACAACAAAGAAGAAATAAATTATTGATTAAAGAAATCTCTTAGGATAAGAGAAAGACTTATTCAAGTTATATGAATTATACTATATAACAATTTCACTAAGAAGCTATTCAAACTCATCATGAAGAATATTTAACTGACAATTACAAAGCTATCTCAGTTATTCAAGTACTCATATCTGATACTACTTGTACTAACTGCTACTCAACAAAAAGAACAAGTTGACACCAACCTTTTAGAAGATTTTGGAACTAGTACTAATAAACCTATAATATTTTAATCTATAGTAAAAGAACCTAAGACTTATTTCATAATCTAGACCAGATATATAACTCAACTACTGCTAGAACTCTCTGTTAAGAAATTATATTCAGCTATACTTATCAAGATAACAACTACAATTCTTAAGAAATTATAAGTTAACTTTTGCTTGATATACTTACTACAATATACTTACTCTTGATCCTACATACTATAATTAGTACAATTATTATCTTGAATCAGAATACTATTCCTATTAGTAAAACTTCTTTACAACTCAGGTATACTCTGAACCAAAAAGTCCTCAAATATTAGTTAATATACTATTAATATTTGAAGACCTTACTATACTTCCTCTACTTCTTAATTTACTACTACCTATAAACTTTCTACCTTCACAACAACAACAATTTGCAATAGCTGACACTACTCTAAATGCCACTACTATAGCAATAACTAACCTTGCTAATACTTTAGAACAAGAATCTGAGAAGAGCTTTATTAAAGTTAAATACTTCTGAGAAGATAGTACTCAAGATCCAGAAGAATAGTTTAAAGAATTCAGAAGAGCTACTGCTACAAACTGATGGAATAATAAAAAAAAACTTGAACTTGCCTTTGTCTTTCTTAAAGGAGTTGCTCTTGATTAGTTCACTACCTTTAACTCTGTCTCTAATACTTTTAATAATGATAGTTATTGAGATTAAAGTTTCAAATATCTCTTTAGAGATAGATTCTATATTTCTAAATAGAAAGCTATCTGGCAAAAACAATTCTTTGAGATTAAACAAAGCAATGATATTGTAGATATATATATGAATAGATTTAGAGAATTAAAAAAGAAAATTAACAGAACAAATACTTTCCCTACTACTTTTGTCATTCAACTTTTTATTCAGGGACTATGTCCAGAATATACTATTAATATACAAGCTTCAGAGCCTGCTACCTTAAATACTACTATAACTAGTGCTAAAAAATAAGAAACTAGATATATAATAGCATCAAGCAAGAATACTAAAATGAACTAAGCTATCAAAACTTTAACTGAACAAATTGCTTAACTAAGTATTAACCTTGCACAGAAACAATCTACTATCAAAAAAACCAATTATATCAAATTCTCTAAACCTACTAGGCCTTAAGCTACTTGCTATTACTGTAGTAAAAATGAATACTAATACTAAACAAAAAGGAATAACTAACATAAAAGAAATAGAAATTAAAAATATAGTCATAATAACAATTAAAGATATTATCCAAACAATAAATCAAGAGAAAGAGCCTCAAGACCTTTATACTAAAGATCTGATTACTAATAGAAAAGAAGAAATCGATCACAAAGTCAAAAAAGAAATTATCGAAACTGGAATAGAGATAATAGAAGCTAAAGTCATTTATAAAAATCTAACAGAAAGAATAAATACCAAAGAGCCTCATCTTCTTACCTTAGAAATGTTAACTACTTAGATAATAACAAAAAGATGATCAAGAACCTCAAATAATCTAAGACCAATAAGAAGCTTTCCTCACTAATACTTCTATTAGAAATACTCTTTTTATATACTTATATAAACTTCTAGTAATAATTTACTACATTAAACTAAAATTTCATTGAGTAACGATCGTCCCACTGAAATTAATACGTACCTTAAAATGTCAATGAATATTTTAAATTCCTAATCTTTGAATTTTTTATCAGGAATACCTATTAGTTTCAGATATCAGATATTTATATTCAACGGATAGTTTATCTGGATAATTTTACAAATTATTTAGTTTATTGGGCGACCTTTGTATCTTTAGAAAAGAAATTAGATTAGTAAAGGCAAACAAAAAAAATCACACTTGATAAAAAGGAATTGTAATTACTCATATTTTGTACCAACGGAAGCCTCGACAAATACACAGTCAGTTTCCATCTCGATATATTTATTGATCAGAGGGTCAGCATTTATACAATCAGGACACCATTGTCCTATAAACGTAAATACAGTATTGGTTTAATTTTGGTTATTTATTTGTTTGTGATTGATATTAAGCTTAAATTTCTAGTTTTTAAGAAAGAAATATTTATCTCACCAAAAAACAACACGTAAATTTTTTGTCCTTCGTGTTCTTTTACGATTTTATCGATGCTTTCATCGAAATTGTCATTATTCGAAAGTTTAATTTTGTGAACCATCGTTGTTTTTTTAAATGTAGACGCTTTGAGAATATTTTTCGCTACACGAATTTGCTTTATACGATGATGGAACATTGGGGTGTACGATATATGTAAATCAAAACTATATGTGGTCACCTAATATTTTAAATGGTGATCGTTTATTAAATATGATATGATTTATAACTTGTAAGAGCATAGCGGACATTCGATTTGATTGGTTAATAAATGTAAACAATGTACATGTTGTCACATGATTATTAGCCAACCAAATCATGAATTTCAAAAGAAAAAAAAAATCGAAACTTTAACTAATC